GGGTATACATCATGTGGGCCAACTTTGGAAATTCCAGAGGGGAGAGGGGGTTATAATATGGAAAATTACTTCCGTGGGGAGGGGGGGAGGAGGTATGGATATTTTCTGGAACTACACAGTAAGCATAATATAATGAAATTTTCACCTTGTTTAGCTTCATGTAAACTTCTAGAGGTATACTTTATTACACTTTTTTTGACCTCCCAAAGAATTTTGATACTTAGAAATAGTTAGTCAACCTCTCAGCATATCATGTCTATTTGAAGACAATTCAATGAAACGAAAATTTTGATCCTTGTGCACACATCTGGGATTAGAGTTAGGATAGGCCCTTTGCAGCTAAGCCATCACATGACGTACTTTTCATAAAATTATGGGCTACAACTTAACAAAAGCCAGAAATGGAAAAAGCATGTCAAAAATATCAAGATGGTTAAGTTTGAGGCCCCTGTCATTGAAGAACGAGATTTTATGACAGTCTGAATTTTTTTTTTTTTTTTTAAAAAAAAGAAGATTTATATGGAAAAAAGGTGTTGAAGAGGAAGGCCTTGCTCTCCAGCAACATTTTCCATACAAATCCTCTAAATTTTCCGAAAATTCAAACTGATGTACGAACTTACTCGTTCATGCCAGGGGCCTCAAACTTGGCCATTTTGGTATTGTCGATTCTGGCAATCTTTAAATTATAGCCCACAATATATACATTTTTTTCCTCAAGGAAAAATTTGGTCACGTGACCCCAGCTGCAAGGGGCACAAGCTTACGTTTGCAAATTATTTTCAGTACAAAAAAAAACGACAACAAATTTGACTTCCTCTACGGCCACCACTCTCGAAAAGAAAAAAAGCTATGCCACACTAAAATTTCAACTCACTTGAGCTGTTCATACTGAGCTTGAATATGCCGCAACACTGTTGGATCTAGTCCCCCTGTCTGTTCTTTACGATAGCGAGCAATGAACGGGACAGTGTTGTCCTTGTCTAGTAAAGTTATCACCGTACGAACAACATTCACGTCGAGATGCAGGTTCTCTGCTAGCACTGAAGCAGCTCTAGGTATACTCTGTAGATTAACGCTAGCCATTCTTGGCGTTTCTTCGTCCTTGATTTGGAACAGCGTGTAGCTCAGGCATCCTCGCTCAACTCCTCGGTGTCCTCTCGGTGTCCCCCTCGGTCTGTTCCTCGGTCTCGTTCCAATTACCCTCCATTTTCAGCGGTCTAACTTTTTACGTCATGTAGAATGACATACGATGTCCCTGTATCGAACGTCAACGTGACATACAGGATGCATGACTTAGTGGGTCACGAAAGCTTTCATCGTGACGCTCTTAAATATGTTTATTAAGCGTCCTCGGTAAGTACAGGCTTCTGGCCTCGAATATCGAACATATTATCCTTGGCACATAAATAAAGCCATCGCCACTAATTAGTGAATTACTCGAACAGGCGCTGCTGCTATTAGCCTACGGCCTGCGAATAGGCGAGCCCCGAGTCCCGCCCTGATCGCTTCGCTCTCCGAGCAATTCTTCAGTTTCGCGTTTGTCCGCTCGCTTCGCTCACCGAATTTTTTTTTCGTCCTCGCTGGGAGCCTTTACTGCCGCCTTGGCCGTGTAGGCTGGCAGTTTGAAAGCTGGGAAGAGGGAATAACGGAAGCACGCGGGAAACTCCGGGAAGGGGAAAGCTCCCGCCATTTCACTCTTCCCGTCGTCCCCCGTGCGCCTTCCTACACTCATTTTATCTACCCTTTCCTGACCCTATCCTATGGAGCCACTGCGGAGTCAGGGGGGGGGGGTAGTGCGAGGTTCAAATGGTAGGTAGGACATAATTATAGAACGTTCCATCTCATCCAAAAATAACCAGATCATCTTATCCAAAAACAAATATATTTAACAATCGCAAAGAAACAAAACACGACTATCTACCTAACTGCAGGCTGCTTACAACAAGAAGAAGTTCATATAAATATTCCTGAGAGTAAGCAAAAATTTAGTCTTCTTATTTACATGATACTTGCTGATGATGTCGTTAATTTCTCTGGAGTATCCTCTGTTACTCTCCGATGGCCGGCGTGTTACGGTTGTCTGTAACTGCCGGCAGCTGGTTACTGATACGTCGATCTCGATACCGACCTCTCAGCATCTTAAGCATTGCTTTTCGAATCTCTCTATTTCTGCCATAGTTTAACAATGGGTTAAGAAGACCATTAAACGTCAGCAGTAAATAGTTCAATGGCCGAAAGGGATTTAACGGCAGTCCCAAAGCAACTATGATTACAGGACTGATCAATGCAGGTAGAAAAGAGAGAAGGAAACATATCAGGATCACTGAAACAATTTGAGTCAGTTTTTTCTCTTTTTCCGCGGCAGCGCGCTTGTTTCCCGCTCGTATCCGCAAGTTTCTAGAGTGTCGTCTATTTGCCATAAAAAGTCTGATGTAATTGAGCAAAATCATCACAATGCAGACCACATAAAAAAGGAATATAATAATAAAAATTATTTTGACACTATATGTACTAGTAGCTGTTTTGTTGAGTATGTACACTATCAGAGTGGTAAACAAGCTTGAAAGCCAAGTTAAGAGCGTTGCCTTGACGACACGTGTGCTTGATCGCCTCACGTGATTACGGTACCACATTGGTCTGCTCATTGCTAGGTAGCGGTCTCTGCTTATCATGGCCAGGTTACTGAGCGTTGCCAGGTAACACAAAATACTAAAGCATGTTTTCTCGATACTTTCCTTCAGGCACATGTATGGATGGAGGTGAGTTAAACTGTTTCTTACTAAAGTAAACAACGCCCAGATTAAATCACTGATTGACAAGCTGCATAGCATCAGAAGTGAAGGATGTTGAAGTGATTTAGTCCGTGTTACAGTGATGAAGACGAGCGCGTTAGAGATGAAAGACATTACCGCCAGGAGCGTGTTCAATGGTACGACCATGTGGTTACTTATGTCTCTTATCTGGTGCTGTAGATCTGCTGGAAGGTTGGGCATCAAACATGTTTGATAAGGAAAGTTACTGAAGTTGGTCGACTGGTTTCCTGAGATCATTTTTCTGAAAAAAAAAAAGAAAAGAAAGCCAGTCCAGGTTGACAAGTAATTTCATGGAATATATTTAACAAATCAGTGTCTGGAGGGAGGGGATGGTGGCCGTCAAAGTTTTCGTACGAGGATGCATTTCAGCCTTTTATATAACATTTTTGACAGAGGGGGTAACCGTTTCAAAAACCTTCCACTAAAAATGATGTAATATATCAAACACGAGAGACAGAGTTTCATCGGGATATCCAAACACCGAGAATAGAGTTGACAATACGACTGCATTGAGTGTTTGATATATCTTCTCAATCAAAACCAAAACTAAGGAGTAAACGGGGAAGTAAAATCGTCAAAATCTATGCTAATTAAGACCGGGTACCCAAAGCCCCTTCACGATTGTGATTTTCTTTGTTTTAACTTGATGAATTATTAATGAGTTTGAGAAGCCCTTTCCACATATCTGCAAAAAACAAACTGTATTACTTTTCTTAAGACTTGATTCAATTTGCCTTTAAAATTTTTCGATGACTCGGCTATTAGCTTTTATGTGGGGACAATATTTCATCAGGCATCATTCATCTCGGAGAAGAGACTTGAAAATTAAATTGCAGAGGACGAAATTCTAGTTGTTTTATATATTTTCTCAATAGAAATGGGAACTAATTAAGAGGAAACGTAAAAATCATCGGAAAAAAAAACTTGATACCACATGATAGCAGCTTTGAGCTGAACTTTAATAATCGCCAAATCTATTTTGTTTTGCTGTTCACTGACAATGGATTGAATAACTGATAGCTTTAAGGCGTTCACGGACAAAAAAATAATGAAGACTACGAAATGTTTGGAAACGGCATTCGCGTGGAATTAATTTTCAATCTCATCAGTTTGTGTTTTTAAACTAAATTGAAAATGAGCAACTAAGAACGTGCGGTTTCCCTTCCTACGGCTTACATCAATCTATACGATGGTAATTTAGCTAGGGCACACCCTCTGTGACATCACTGAAGGGTTCGTTTTGGAAGAATATCCGTTCTCGGGTCAGATAGATATGAAATAACAGGAAAAATGGTCTTTTTATGGGAAAATTTCACTTGAAACTTTTGTGAACAATAGGAAATTTGGGCAACATTAGCGCCTGTTGTTTTCGGAGAGATCATAAAAATATCGTTTCGGGTGCGAAAAACTATGGTAGTTAGAATTCCAGGAAAGACAACAGCCACACTAGCTTGTTGTAGAACTGCTAATATTATAATTATCACTGCAAAAACCTTAAACGATATGGAGGAGAAAAAAAACAAATTCTAGCCAACAACACCCAAAATGTTGCACCTAACAATGTTGCGATGTGTTGGGTTGAAATGTTGTGATCGTTTGGCCGTGGCTTGATGATAGCTTTACAATTGCAGCTTTTCTTAAACGAAACTTTTGGCATAACTTCCGATATATGGTAAATGAAATACTTGCCGTCTGTGGGAATAACACCCTGAGTAGCATGCTTAGTTCTGACTTGTTCAGTTGCTTCTCGTTAAATGCGAAATGGCTGTTACGTAATTGGAACAAATAGACGGGTACCTGTCTTGTGAAACTTGCAATAATTGGTGCTTCCAGAATTGTTGACGATGTAGCAGTAGATACAGCGCTTATATAGTCTTCTACATTCACTCGACTCTCGATCTCCACCGTTGCCCTAAAACAGACGATCGATGGAAGATCGAGTCCACTAAACATTCGGTTTCCAACGCTCATTGATTCACACTAACAGCCCGTTTGACATTGAAATAAGATGAATACTCGGAATAAAATAAAAACAGTGACACCTGCGGCTAAGGTATAATAAAGTTGCCAAGGAAATCTGGAAAGGAAAATTGTTCTGTTTCTGTTCAATTTACAATATTTGTCCGCTTAATTTCCGGGGGGGGGGATGCACTCCACAAGGATATACGGGGTGGCTCCGCCACAAGTTAAAGTCCAATGCCTTAAACTTTGGTATACCATTTTGACAGAAAGGTTACTCCTTTCGTATACGTTTTGTTGAAAAAAGGTAACCTTTTCACATACCTTCTTAAGAACATTGCATCCCTTTTCCAAACCCTTGGAATGAGGTTAATAAACAATTTTACCGGAGAACATCAAGCATAGCCAGAGGAAACGTTAGCCAGAAAAACAAGTACATATTCAGCTCGTGTTCACGTTTGACTTAAAGCGCAGATTTCCCTACCCTTTCACACACCTTTTAAAACTTGTGAAATCCCTACCCTGTTATATACCTGAAGCCTGAAAAAGGTAACCCTTCGGGCGGAGCCTCCCCGTAAAGGACATTACAGGAAGGTCCCCCCGGGGCTTATTTGAGTGTCCCCAATTAGTACAGTAGTGGTAAGCAGTTCGACAAAGTGATTAATTATTGTTTTTATTTTGTTGCAAAACAAGGCCATTGACTTCGCTGGAAGTTTTTAAATCGGCCTTCTATCAGTGGTAGCCAATTCGGTATTAGTCGCGCTAATGGAGGAAGTTGCAAAATCACATTCGAATGGGACAGAAGGCGGCATTGTTCTGAAGAATGGCAAGGCCTCCCTTAATTTCACACGCAAGAACAGATCATGGTTAAATTTAGCCGGCTTCACGGATAATTAAGTTCAACTAATTTGATAAGAATAATCAGCGAAAAATGGTTTCAATGGCTTTTTTTCAAAAGTTAATCGAACTTCGACTTCGTGTCGAGTTTTTCTTGATTTGCAGCTCAGTACGCTCTTTCTTTCTTACAAGAATATGTTTGGTAAGAATGACGAGGCTCAAATTTGTGAAATTTTAAGAATATTTTAAGAATAAACCCGAAGCTGAGACTTTGAAAAGAATATAATTTTGTATTGAAAATTAGATGAAATACCGTGGATACAATGATATGTTTTAAACTAAACCGTATAGAATTCTTCCTTTCTCTAAACGGCAAAACTAGCCAAAAAGCAACAAAAACCGCACTAGCCGTATGTTAGATGATGCTCTTGTTCCTGCAGGCTGGCTCCAAAGTTACTTTAACATCATCCAGACACCAAATACATTCGAAGATAGAAATGTCATACGCTATAATCCAAGAATATTCACAACAATATTTTCAGCCTAAAATCGACGGAAAAATAATAACATTCAGACTCGGGCCAGAAAAAACAATATTCTTATAAAGAAAAAGTGTATCAAAGTAAGAACGAAAGTCAACTGCGCACAGTTGTGCAATGGCAAAATCTAGATTATTTTACGTTTAACGATAGGGTTTCCGAAAATCAATGCCGCGGACTGATAAGATAAAGGCTGTTGTAATATATTAGCTTTTATTTATTTTTTTTCTCCAGCTTCTCAGCGGTCCGCAATCCTAAATCCTTGAATCTGATTGGCTAATCGCATGTAATCGCGAGCGCTTCAGCTGTCCGGATTTTCCCGTGCGGATCCCGAGTACGGACCGCTCCGAAATTTCCAATTTTGGCAACTTTACACCATAAAACAACGGAAAATGTTGTAAGCAAAAAAAAAAAGCTATTAAAGCTTTTTTAATCACTTTTTGCGCCCGAAATGCCAAACACACACGTACGGCAGATTTGAACTGAACGGATTTAATTAAAAGTCAATTCAAAGGCTGCTTTCAAAGCAATATCGTAGAGAAAAAAAATGAACACGTTATTTGCCAGGCTTAGTTGGTCAGTATTGCGTACCCAAGACCTCTGGTACAGTTTTTCCCATGTGGAGCTCCCGACAGGCACATAACATATATATATATATATAATAGTATTTTAATAATTTTCAGTCAAGAAAAGCCGGTTCAGTCGATGTCGAGTAGTTCGTGAGTTCAAAATGCGGTTTTCTTTCGCCTGTTAAATATTTTCAACTTAAAATGCTAATAATTATCTGGAAGGAAACAAAGACAACTACTTACTTTAACTCCATTAGCGCGGCAAAAATATCTGTCGCGTTAAGCCGAATTCAAAGCACTCGCACCTGGCCATTTGCAATCAGAAGGCGGAGTAAAACCAGGCAAGAAACAAAGTATATTCCATTTGAACTGTGCAACTGTGGCCAACTGGTTATTTTTCCCTCGCGTCATTGTAACGAACGCAACCGACCATCCGCGACGGCGGCAGAAAGAAAATGATCTAGCGTAAACCTGATGTCTTAAGTGTAATGTGCTGTTGTTCATCAAGAATTCCAAATTATTTTAATTCATACTGTAAGCGTGCAGGCAACTAAAACATGACGAGAGGCTAAAGCTGCGGGAGAGACCTGGGACGAGCCTGCTCAACAGGAGCGCTTAACAAGACTCACGCTCTAGGCAGTTTGCGACTTCGTAATCTGCGTACCAATTTGCTTTAGAAAACAGTCCTAAGAAAATACGTGCGCTGATTGGTTAAAAATCGTGTTTCTATAACACAGAACTACCATGCGCTGTTGACGAAATGATGGCGCGAGCAAAAAGAATTTACATTTTGATAATCAAAGTTAACAAGTTGTTTTCATTTTTTTTCGTACCGTTGTTTTCTAAAAGAAATAGAAAACATGTTCTCAGAGTTTCTATCGAGTTTTAGTATAAATCTGCTAGCGTTCTATTATGAATATCGTTCGCTGATTGGCTACGCTACTATCTATTCTGTGATAGATAGTGAGTAGCGTAGCAGTGTGCCCTTGTTAACAAATTACGGCCGCTTCTTGGCGTTTTCAAAGGGTCTGTGAAGAGGATTTAGATTAAGTTTTGAACGACTAGTAGATTTATACTAAAACAATTACATTATTCACTCTCGATTTCTATCGCGCGATAGAAATGTCGAGCTCATAATCTAATTGTTTAATAGAAACACTCGTGAAAGTTTGGGAGAACTCGAAAAAGCTGTGGAAACACTCGCCTGCGGCTCGTCTTCCCACAGCATTTCCCGTTCTCCCAAACTTCCACTGATGTTTCTATAACTCGATAGAAACACGGTACATGTTTTCTATCTCTCAAATGTTGCAGTGTTTCACGCCGTGGTTTTATAGGGAACTACAGATACTACAATGTCCATCCGCTGAAATACACTCTTGAATGGGTTATGTAACGTTCTCAAATCTATTCAATACAGTTTAAATATTTTCAAACCTTTCCATGCCAAGGCCAAGCCCAAGCATGTTGCAACTTAACAAAATTCTGTACTCTATTTCTGCCACGTTTGTCTCTGAAACAATATGGAACTAGTGCTGTCAGCAGTATCAAAGTCTAAGTTCCCAAACAAAACCCCAGAAAATAAATCACTCCTTCAGACTGTTTTGTGTCATTTATTTGAAGTAACATACCCCTTCCAGTAAGTAAAATAAGTTGAAAAAGTAACATACCAATTCCAGTACACAAAATAAGTTGAGAAATAATTCCTGGCCCGATGTATCTGCAAAAATGCACGCACGCACACGCGCACACACACACCCACGCGCCCTTGTATCCAGGCGAACATATATCATTTACAGAAGTCAGAACCGTGACTAAGTAAAGTCGTGTAAATTTGCCTATGAAACTCTTCAGTTCAACTTTGCCATTTGTTTATGAATATAAATGAGGCCCACAGACAGACCCATTAACAATAAATTAAATACGTTAAGACTGGATGCATCAACATGTGTAAATGTAGGCGCACACGGATACACCCGCGCGCGTATCCACGCATCCATCCACGCAAACTTACATCATCTATAGATAGGCCAAAGTAGCAACTGAAGGTGTCCAAATTTACCTGAAATCTCCTCCTAACAGTTTGCAATTTGTATATGAAGACACAAATAAAGTCATTAGATCGACAAAGAACCACAAACTTAATATGAATTGTTATGAACATAGCCTGTTAATAACTATGGCTAAAAGTATAATAATTTAAATTGTTTTAATATGCAATGGTCGACCTAAATTATGAGAAAATTCCAAAGGTAGTCCCGCACACAATAATGCTACCCTAGAAACGTAATTTGGAAATTAAAAAAAGTACTTAAACTAAATTTACTATAAAACTATTTTTAAATAGGTTAAAAACCCCAGGACCGGGTTGTTCGAAAGCCGCATAACGCTAAGTTAGCCGAGGTATTAATTTTTCTCGTATAAAAATGTCTTTGCACTGCTTGTGTTTTGTGTAGTTTTAGATTACTCAAACTCAAAACTGATGGGCAAACAATATAAACAGACAACCTCACTGAAAAGTTCCAAAACTGAAATCAAAATTCTCGCCTATCCTGGGTTAGCTTAATCGGGCTTTGAACAACCCGGCCCAGTCCGTGGTAGATTCATGTAGCAGTTTTCATAATTGCAGAGTTATGCCTTTGATAAATGTATAATAATATAATTGTAATAATTTACGCAGATATCTTTTATAAATACTCTTAATAAACTGACTATCCCTTTTAATACAAGAATGATCAAAATTTAATTTCTCTCTATATTGTACATATAAATTGAGGATGATGAGATAACGAGAATCTAGAACCTAGTCATAGAAAGGAACTACGGGTTTAATGTTCTACAACTCAGTGGAATCCGTTAACTAACTTCACGAGGTTAGTTCCTTACAGTATTCCATTAACTCAAGCCATTTTGCGATGTTAATTCTAGTGCGGGAGGACAAGTGCATTCGGGAAAGGGTAAGACTACTGCACCATCTTGAGCACGCGTCGGGCAATCCAGGATTTGCTTTTCCCCAAACTTCTTGGACGGCCTCAAATAATTCAGGATAAAATACTGCATTTATCTCAAAACTCTAATCTTTCAATTCTTGAATAAACAATCCAAAAAAATTTTATATTTCAGCTATTCAGTTTCAAAGATTTCAATTTCAGTTTGAATCCAAGACTCAGATTTACACTTAACAAAACCTTAAAACTATCCACTGGCCTGCCCGCCAGGTCAATAAATAAGTTATCCTACTTTGGGCCTATGAACTCTCCAGAACAAATACAATGACAATACAAGTGACCACGTCTTGGCGGGACTCAACAGAAACGCCATTAAGCCATACGTGTAACGTATATTATAGCAAGATGAAGCTTGCCATAGTATCATCATCACAAACACAAAATGTCCCANGAAATGTTGCTAAAAGGTAAACGACCAATAACCTCTGTGTCTCCATGAACATTGCAAGAAAAGACGAGTGAAGAGCGACTGCGCATAAATGACAGTCTGTTGATCGGTGAGAGCATTGGCTTTTTTCTCTCTTTTTGGTTCTTTGCAACTCTGCTTCACCAATTTAAGCGCGCAACATGAACAATTGAGCCGGGTTAATGAACGCTTCGTGCTAAGCACACTGATGGGCATAGAAAACACGAGCTCCGCACTGAGCAAATACATTGAACCATATTCGTATTCCCGGTATTGGACTGGAACTAGCTTGCAACCGAGGCTAATGCGGGGAGTCTTTTCAAAGGCAAATGACATTAATCTTCCCCGCATGAGCCCCCACTGCAAGCTACAATGGGCGACTAAAGTGTTGAGACACTTGGCAGTAAAATTCGATTTTCGAGCGTCTTGGACACACTTCTCCTCTCCCTTCCCCCCACAAACAATGTTGATTTTTCTATTTCTTGGACTGCACAGACCACAGCGCATTGAATTGGGGGGCCAGGGGTATCAAAGAATTAACGCTAGATGCGAATAAAATAGAACAAGTGCTTAAATATCGAAAAGCGTCATTTCCTAAAAGTGTCTCGACTACTTTCGTCGCCCATAGTAGTTCCAGTCCAGTACCGAAAATACGAAAATGGTCTATTGGGAGACAGACATATCACCTACCTATACCAGTATAAACACCAAATGAAAACAAAGGGTAGAAGAGATCATCAGCGTGAGCCAGTAGTACCAGGCGCTTCCACCATCTCCCTAAAACACCGCACAGAAATCCTGACGAGACAAAAACACCACTTACTTCCTAACAAAATGAACTGCAAGAGCTTTGAACTCAAGGGTATCAGCAGTTGATCTAGTGTGATTGTTCGGGTGTCGATTGTTCAGCAAGGAACTGTTGTTGTTATTGTTGTTATTTAAAGTTTTGATCACCAGAGAGAACTTTATCTACAGATGAAGATGACTTCCACCCAGCACCCAGCAGCAACAATCCTTTTCAAGGACTACCCTCACCCGATCAGAGGATCACCATGATCCCAATTGCAGTCGACGCAAATTGTAATATATCTCCATAATATTATAAGCAGGCATACAGTAGGGGAACGTCATATCAAATTACAGGACAACGCATCCGTTGTTTCGTGGCAGCCGTTTTGAATTTGAAATACGAGGTCATCTGAAACAATTACGGGGAGGGCCGAGATTATTCGAAAACTCTCGGGCCATCCGATAGTCTACCGAGAATATGGTTTCCGAAGATTTCTCGGTCCCAGACCTGGCACCAGATGACCGCATATTAAAATTCAAAATGGCTACCATAAAACAGGTAGCCTGCCCTGTGAGTAGGCAAAGACGGAGACAAATGAATCATCAAGAACAGAAATTTTCTTAATGCAATCGCCAATAGCTCAAAACTACTGTACCACTCACAAACAAAAATCTTTTTTCGAGAGAGCATGAGGCAGTATGTTTTGTCATTCTTTGAGCAAAACAACAACTCGAAAAGCTGGTGGGTACGAGAAAAGCCTGGTATACAACTTTAAAAGACCGGACCCGGTTTTGGGCGCCAAACCCAAGGCATAACCATTCAAAACAATATCACAACAAGTTAATATAAGCTAAACTCTTCCAACAGGACATAGGAAATGCGAGGAAATCCGTCACTGAGGAGAAATTTGACATTCACACTGAAACAATAAGCATTAGTAACTGGACAGAGTGGAGTTCAATTCAGGGAGTAACCCGGCGAGTAATTTTAAAACCAGTAAAACGCCCATAACTGACGTGCGATCAGCGTAGGTGTTCCATTACAGGTATCAAACTACAAAAAAGTTGTCATAAGATGCCTGTGATTGGACATTCGCGCAATCGCACGAAAATTACGTGACAAATAGGGGGGTAGAGAACCAATCAAAATCGAGAATTTTGTTATAGATATAGCTGTAATCTCTGGCACTCATACCTTTGCATGCAGATGGATCACAGTGCCTTAGCAATCCTAATCCAAGCACGATTATCCCGAAAAATACACTAAAGAGAACACGGCCCTGCAAGGAAGAATGTAGAAAATGAGTGTTTGCCTCGAACAGACCGAATGGTTGAGGGTGGGTTTGCATGAGCAACTGTTCTTTTGTTGTTTTCTCTATGCAGATGTGTAAAGGAGACTAGTATCTCATCTGGAGGGCGTGGGGAGTAAAATGTCTTTTCACTTCTAGCTACAAAGATCCACTAGTCTCTCGACTGCTTTGGTGTTACCATTATTAATCGCTTCACTGGAACTTGTGGCAATTTCCTGCTCGTTCTTTGCGTCTGCACACCGACATGTTCATAGCTCTACAGTTTGACGAATCATCCGCTTCCGTAGCCGATACCTCGTCCTATCTATATTCCATCCAGCCCTCTCAGTCAGTCAATAAGGCCATAGTACTCACCAGAGTGAAGAAGTCAGTTAACAAAAGAAAGGCTGGAATTAGATCCAGTGTCGGCCGAGATCCGTCCAAGGAGAACAGCTGAGTCCGCTGTGAAGTTCGACCAGCAGAATCCTGTTCAATAAAGCATTTTGCCAAAATAAATCATTTCTTCACTAGACAGATCATAGGTAGCAATGCTAAAATATATGAAGCTGTTCCCAAATCTGTCAAACACATGCATAGAGATATAATAAATATCTTACTAGATCCGTCTCGGTCCACACTGTAAGTTATGGAGCGATTTTTTTCCCTCTTCGACTTATGGCAATGCTTCGCGCCTGGGCCATAAATCGCAAGGAAAAAGCTCGGTCCGTACTGTAAGTTACGTACCGAGAAGACGAGGTTAGTAAGAGGTAGTTATTTCATAGCTTTATTTTTCTTTATTTATCATAAAATTATGAAAATCACATCAGATATACATAGTCACACACTACGCCGGGAAGTTTGAAAACGCAGCTTTATTTCTCCGGATAGGCCTACCGTCCACACTAATCCGTAACGAAAACGGAGCTTTTCGAAAACGTTCTTCAAACCGGAGGAATTTGAAAACGCCGGTTTTGCGTCTTATTGTGGACGGAAAACATTTTGAACGGAGCTTTTCGAAAACCATGTTGTCAGGATGATCACGTGACTTCCCTGCCCGAGTTTTCCTCAAACACAAATCTAAAATGACCGGTGGTTGTTGTGTTTTTAAATTCCTCCGGCGTAGTGTGGACCGAAAACATTTGATGCGTTTTCAGAGTGAAAACGCTGTTTTCAAATTTCTCCGGGTAGTGTGGACGGGGCGTATGGCTGGTTTGCAGTGTCACGCGATCAAAAATAAAAGTCATAACCATTCAATAAATTAAGTCAAGAAGCTGGGATATGAAAGATGATTGATATATAAGCAACCTCGCCAAGATTTAGGTCTGTACGGTTTTTCATTCTCCCGTTATTCGGAGAAGTGTTTCACTCAAATTTATAGAGCTTTGTATGGAATCGCCATGTTTGTGCCCCTCGGAGGGACACAAACATGGCGGCCGTAAAGTAATAGAAACATCTGTCATTGAGTTTTACCATTGAAACGAAAAGTTATTACTCTAGAGCTCCGACACATTGAAANCCCCCCCCCCTCGAATATGCGATCCCTTCGAATAAGCGCCCCTCCTATCGGCCGAAATTTAAAATAAGCGCCCCCCTCGAATAATTGCCCCCCTTCCCCATTTTGTGGGCGAGTAATAAGACAACAAAGGATGTATAGTTTTCGTCATGTAGAGCTTAGATTTGTACATTGTTTCAGTTTATGAACACGTTAAGTGAACACGTTGAACACGTTAAGTACTAACGGTGCCGCGATTTAAACTTAAGGATCAGCTTTTTATGTCGATAAACAACTTATGTTGTTGTTTACGCGCAGATGATGTATTGAAAATAAAATTATCATGTCAGGCCACGATTTGGGAAAAATTAACTAAGCGCCCCCACCTCGATTAAGCGCCCCCCTCGAATAAGCACCCTCCATCTTCTCCAAAATTTGAAATAAGCGCTCCGGACGTTAATTCAAGGATTTCCGGTAACAGTCCCGGTTTTAGAGCTAGTTCGTCGTTACGCGGTATGACGGTCTCGCAAGACTCGCACCCAAGCAGTGTACCTCTTGCGACTAATGACTAATTCCTTACCTGAACCTTTACAGTGATTGAATGAATTCCTGAAGAAAACTCGGCAGGATTCCACCGACATACAAACAGTGCGCCTTGAGCGCGAGTAGCCTGTGAGTTGAGAGGTTTACCATCGATTTCAACAACAACAGACTCGATAGGGACTGGAGAGAAAGCCAGAAATCTGAAACAAAAGTAAGATATGGTTATATACATTGTTTTATTTTTTCTTTTTGGTAACTACCATGAAAGAAGCCTCTCTTGTTTTATGTTTCACGCACGGAATCTCCATGCCTCACATGAAGGCGTTATATTCCAGCTCTATTTCTCGCTTCCATGCTCTCATTCTCGCCTTGCAATGCTGCCTTTCCTGATGGCTTCACCTGATGACAAAACTCGGGCTGCCAAGCTATTTTGCTGTTTTATATTTAACAATGAGATTATGAGCTCGAGTCAACTACCACGCATAGAAATCGAGAGAGAATAATCTCATTGTTTTAGTATAAATCAACTAGTCGTTCAAAACTTTATCTAAATCCTCTTCACAGACCTGTCTTATAATTAGTTGCTTAGTTCAGACCGATGTTAAAGGCATTGTGACGGGCTTTTGTTGATGGTCTTATCCATAACGATGAAAAAGTACCTTCTTCAATAAACGTACGTGCAAAGAATATAAACCTAATAGCCTGGTTATGTGATAGGTTTTCATCACGCGGGATACAAAATTGCGTTGAAAAAGTACCCGACTCAAGAGTAGAGTGCAAAAACCATGCCCTCCAGGTATTTGAGACCAAAATGGCCAAAATCGATACCCTATCTATGACNAACAGGAGGAGAAGAGGATGGGTATCAGTACAAAGTCATTGCAAGAGCCTCCTACCAGGCCAGCGACAAGATTTAACAATCTTAATGGCTTACTCATTGGCCTACAAATTTCCCTACCCCTCTCCCCAGCTTTTCTTACTTCCTTGTGTCAAGCCAGTCCCCTAGCTCCAGTTCCAAGTGGCCATCAACATGAACAGCATGCATTTTGGGGACGACTTCTGCCAGTGTGTGAAGATGACCACACAGGTAAACAGCTCCAGTCCTAAAATAAACATGTATAATGATGTAGTTGGGGTTGATCAGGATCCAAACTCTCAAAAACTGCTTAGCTATAGCCTCCAGACTTGTTGGTTTTTTTTCAATAAGTTTAGTTGTGACTGACTCAAACCAATGAGTGACAGACAAGATAATAACAATAATGAAGATATTTTTAACAGGGAGCCTATGCCACATGTGGTTTTCAGAGTACATCGGTGTAGGTAGCCCCCTACACAGACACTCTTTGGGCTCATCAAACAATCTTCCTCAAGACTGCGTGACGAACCCAAAGAGCGTGTTTAGGTGTACATCGGGGTGTAGGTGAATGATGTGCTGTCTTATAAGGTAAAGTCTGCATACAAGCCAACTGGCCCATCAGTATGGAACTTGCCCTGGTTTCTATGGCATGAAGCAACTAGGAGTATTTGTACTCTGCCCTGGATGGGATGCTAGTCCATCGCAGGGTTACCCCCAGCATTAAGTTCACCGGTACCCATTTATACACCTGGGTGGAGAGGGGCACTGTGAGGGTAAAGTGTCATGCCCAAGAACACAACACAATGTCCCTGGCCAGGGCTTGAACCCAGACTGCTCCATCGGAGATGAGCACACTAACCGCATGAGGCCACTGCACCTCTCACTTGCTGTGTTGTAACTCACCTTAAAATCTTTCTAACATAAGGTGTTGTTGTGACTGAAAAAGGGTGGTGTCCAAACCAAATTGTCATGTTAAATGATTTGCTGGCATCAGCTAGTCTCTCCATTTCATTGATACGATCCTGGAGGAAGGTAAAAATTAAAATTTGTCACCTCAATAAATAACAGTGAAGCTGTCAAATGTATAGCCACAGCAAAGGCATAGCAATACTGTATAGGCCTGTCTTGTCCCTGGTTGAGTTGACACAAACAATACTTTATTTTGTTCTTATGGAGAAGATCACATAAGGACAAGTCAGCTCAATAGTTTGCTGTGCATAATTCAGGGTCAGATTTGAATTAAGTTTGTTGTCTCTCGTCTAAGGCTGGTTTTTACTAGAGCAAAGGAGACTTTTAGTCAGAGTTGTAATCGGAGGTGCAGAGTGTATGATCTAATGAAAATCAAACAAATGGAGTCCAAAGTAGAATGCTGATTCCACCAATGACTCTGGCACTTATGATCTATATTGTCAGCATCGGAAGAAAGAGAAGAATAAACCAATCACAATACTTGATTCTGGGCATTGCGATTCCAGGTTGGTTCTTCCACTTTTGGTTAGGACTCAGATAATCTAGTTTTCACTGATTCATCCAACTTCGATCCCATCGAGCTTATGACTGACTCTACTTAAAACTCCGATCCTCAATTTTCACTAGGTCATAAGCATTCTTCAACTCCAACTCTGACTCAAGATTCTGTCACTAGTGAATACCACCTTTACTAGTTAAGGGTTAAAATTTTTAATACAATGTTTGTTTTTAGACCCCATTCTTAAAACCCAACAATAAAACCAAAGTTTAAAGTAATTTATGCACAGCTCAAACATTAAATCAATTAAGTTTAAAAATGTACAATGTAAATTGTTATCATGGGATAGGCCCTTTAACAATTGAACTAAGTTAATAATTTTTTGATTTCTTCTATAAAAAGTACTCTTCTTTACCTGATCCACATGTCCAAAGAAATTAAACGGTCTCCGTGGTCCAGGATTAGGATTCAAATCAATACCGTTGAAAGCATAGGAACCAAACTTGGTGCTGTATATGTACTGGTATGGCATGGAACCTCTCCTTGCATCCAGACCACTGGATGAGTAATCTCTGGAATAATTCAAGTAAAGTGGATGTTAGTAACAAAAGGTTATACATGTTAAAACCGTTTTAAAGGTATCAGGAGTAAATAGCAAAATGAAAGCTGGAGAGAAAGAGAGGAGCCGCTGGGGATGGAGTCTTATTCTGCCAGTTCCAAACAGCTCTGCTGATGTTGGCTCCTGAATGTGATGTGAACCTGCTGTCTACCGACTGGGCAGAATAAAACAAAGGAATATTTCTGCCCAATCAGGAGCCAACATTCACAGAGCTGTTTTCGAATTGGCACAGCAAGACTCTGTCCAAAGGAGCTACTCATTTTCTATCTGACTTCTCTTTGCCAATTTTTCAGTATCATTTCAACTTTCCCTTTCCTTGTTTCTGAAAATGATAATTAATACATGTGTTAATACGTGCATTTGCCCATACTCACTGGGTGTCTGGAAAACCTGAATAGCGAATAGCAAATAGTCGCGAATAGCGAATAGCAAATAGTTCCAAATAGTGCGAATAATCTCGAATAGTGCGAGTAGTGGCAAACAGTCACAAAAAGTGGCAAATAGTGACAAATAATAATAACGAATAATATAGCCACCGCTTTAGATCTAATATCCTGCATTAATTAATTATCCAAATAAGCAACAGAATTTCAGTGAAATTATTATCTTTTCTTCTCCGGACTCAGGCTAGGGTTGTCCATCACTGACATTAAGGATAAGGATAACCTAATAAAGACATATTTACGCTTTTGCAGTGGTTAAAACAGAAGAAATTACATTTAGAAACACCTTTTATCCTGATAAGCGTCTGTGCTTTTTAGCAGGAAAATCCCATCCCACGTTGCAGTGAGGTTGACTGCCAGATACTGGGTACCCTATTTGCTACGATTTGCCACTATTTGCCACTATTCACCACTATTCGAGACTGTTCACCACTATTTGCACTATTTGAGACTATTCACACTATTCGTACTATTCGCTATTCGCTATTTGGACTATTCACTGTTTGCCATTTGCGACTATTCGCTATTCGCTATTCGGGTTTTCCAGACACCCCATACTCACTTGAAGAAGTTCTCATCACTTGTAAGCGAGGGAACACTAAATGCATCTATCGAGAGATAAAGAGGTAGAAAAAAGTAACTACTGGCATTAAACAAAACTGGACAACATCACTAATTTCAAAAATTAACTTGACTTCCAATCATTAAATTATGTAGCAGACTGCATGGAGGAAACTATTACTTACCGGTAACATTTAAAAAACTTGAGCAGTAAAAATCATTTACTTTATATCAAAAACGTAATATACATGTACTCACCGACAATGAAGTAAAACAGGGTGTCTGGAAAACCCGAATAGCAAATAGCTAATAGTCGCGAATAGTGAACAGTGAATAGTCCCGAATAGCGAATAGCAAATAGTACGAATAGTGTAAATAGTCTCGAATAGTGCGAATAGTGGCGAACAGTCTTGAATAGTGGCAAATAGTGGCAAATCATAGCAAATAGGGTACCCAGTATCTCGCAGTCAACCTCGCAGCCACGTAGGATGGGATTTTTCCATTAAAAAGCACAGACGCTTATCAGGATAAAAGGTGTTTCTAAACGTACATGTAATTTCTTCTGTTTTACCCGCTGCCAAAGCATAAATACGTCTTTATTAGGTTATCCTTGTGTTTTCTATTTTCTTAATGTCGGTGATGGACAGCCCTAGCCTGAGTCTGGAGAAGAAAAGATAATAAATTCACTGAAATTCTGTTGCTTATTTGGATAATTAATTAACGCAGGATATTAGATCTAAAGCAGTGACTATATATTGACAACCATTTGTCACCATTTGCCACTTTTCGCAACTGTTTCGCCACTATTCGCACTATTCAAGACTATTCGCACCATTTGGGACTATTCGCTATTAGCTGTTCGCGAATATTCACTATTCGCTACTCGGGTTTTCCAGACATCCAGTGAAACAGTTACTTTACCATGAAACTGATTTCTAAATTTATTCAAAGATGCTTGTATTATTCCAACCATATAAGTTCTAAATTCCCTTACCATGATTTCCTCTCAAGTCTAACCATTTAGTCTTGTCTTCAACTTTTGTTTCTTTTAGCACATTGTAATATTCCTCCCATTCTTCTTTGTACTGCTTAGAGCCAAGTCGATACACATCCTTTGCATCTGTCAAGTCACCTGGTAAAAATAACGACACTCCATTTCACCGTTTCACTATTAATTATTACTGATCAACACACTATGAAGCCTACACCACTTCAACTTGTCAACATTATTGACAGAGAGCTAACCACTGTCAAGTCAGCGTTATCGGTACTTGGGTTAACTGTATATTATTTTGTGGTTATCTGGAGCACCTATATTTAGAGCCATTTAAGCTAGCTGTGGTCAACTTATTCAGGCTAACCATAACTATTTGCTACAACTCATAACTATTTGCATGATTCACTACTAGCAACTGCCACTATTTGCTGTTCCTTTTTTTCATCATTCATCTATTTAATAATTAATTTGTTACAGCAAAAGAAAAAATTAACTACTTACAATACAAATCTGGATACTTACAATACTAAAATAACTCTATTTTTAATTTCAGTTACAGACATAACAAAGATATGGAACTTCATGGAAATAAGTCACCAGGTTACGCACATGTGTGCACTAGATGTACATACTAGTACCTTACACATGTTATGTAAGTCAAGAAACTGGCAAATTATGTTACTTTACAAAAACAAGGATCAAAGTTCAGTAATGCTTCAAACAAAATTAAATGAAAACAGAATGTCAGTTGGATTTTTAACTCCAGGGAAAATCCATCACTGTTCCCTGTTAGAAAAACACACAAATTCTAAATGCAAGCTTACCTGTAGCTAGCACGGCAACAGGCCTGATTACGTCTATATTCTCATTACAGAACTGCTTGAGATCCCTAGCTCTTTGACGATCACGGTATTTGCTGATGTGAATATCAGATACCTGTTGTGAAAAGATATGTAACAGGATCCTTCAATTTAGTCAAACAACTCCCCAGGGTGTAAAATTTTGACACAAAGTGTTATACCACCTGCTGTTTAGAGAAAATGTAAACATTAAAAGTGCAGCAGACAGGATTCTTATTTAAGCTTTAGCTCCCGGTAAGGTGGTTTCTAACTGCATATCAACCCACAAAGAAACCACAAAATCATATTATTGAGTCTAGCTTGCTTTAAAACGTAAACTATCAATATCAAAAAACGAATTAAACGTGTACAGCTAGGGAAGATCGTCGATGGCACATAGTAGCTAAGTGCAGTACCTGAACCGGGACCCAAACCAAGTAGCCACGTGTAAAATTTTCAATTCACGTTTGCATACTTTGCAAGAGTCATCGACCTCGGCTTATATTACTTGAAATGCATAAGAGAAGCAATTCTATCTAAAACAACGTGAGCATCCGAAAGTTCTGTACGAAAACGTTGTAAACGAAAAGACCGGTCGTCCGGAAACACTTTCCGTCACATGATGCAAACTGCTACGTTCTCACCTGCACGAACCAGAGAATGTTTTCCATCTTGTCGCTTGGAAATGGAGCTAGATTTGTATTTCTGTGAGGCTTGAGTGGCCTGCCGTGCCCCGTGTAATATTCTAGCAATACAGCAACAAGCCATGATGACAATAAAATGACTATTAACACGATCAACGAAAGAACTCCTTTCAACCCGACCACCATGTTGATAAAACTGAAGCCTCATTTTAATGTTGAAGTCATTTCCGGTTAATCCGGTTACGACCGGAAATGACAAAATTGACTT